TGTACTATTATAGTTTTCTACACCAGAGAAACTATTTGGTATTTCAGTTAAAGAAATCTCTGTGTGAACATTAAAAAATAGGGAATCCTAAGATATAACTAAAAAGGAAAGTAAAAGAGATAAGGCAGTGATGTAAGATTAAAATAATCCTTAATTTTGAAGATGAAAATGGTCCCTTAACATATTTCAATTGCTTCTTGCTCTTGTAGTTTTATCTTAATCTTTTTTTCATTATTTAGAGAATACTTTTTAGTTTCTGTAATCAAACCCACGTAGATATGACCTTATATATTTAGGACAATGCGTTACCCCTGTGCAAATGGAAAAATTAAAATTAAAAAAATTAACATTTCTAGACCGATATGGCTGTCCATTTCTAGTAAGGTTCATTTTAATATGACTTACGAACCATTATGTCACATTTAACATTTCATTGTTTGTTTGTTCATTTGTTTGTGACAGGCTCTCCCTAGGTAGTCCAGGCTAGCCTTAAATTCACTGTGTAGCCCATGCTGGCCATAACCTCAGTGATCCCCTCCCCTCAGTCTCCTGAGGGCTGAATTCATAGGCGTGCACCACCATGCGGCCACATTTAACATTTTAATAATCCCTGAATACCATCAAGTCAGCGTTGTTTTACTGACCTCCTATTTGTCAACTCTGTTAGTGTCAGAGTATAAACAGAAGTCTACATGTGTGCATATACGAAAGTCTGATATTCTCATTTTATGAAGTTACATTTGATCATTGAATTCATTGTTAGTCAGACCTGTTAAAAATATTTGTTAGAGCTGGGCATGGTGGTGCACACCTATAATCCCAGCACTCGGGAGGCTGAGGCAGGAGGATCGCTTCCAGTTTGAGACCAGCCTGGACTACATAGTGAGTTCCAGGTCAGTCTCAACTACATGGTGAGATCCTGTCTCAAAAAAAAGAAAAGATCCTTCCTTGGGCAGGGAGTGTAGCTCAGTTGTAGAGTGCTTACCTAGTAGATACAAGGCCCTAAGTTAGATCATCAGTGCTGCAAAAAACAAAAATATGTACATCATTTGCGAGTCATTATTTCATAAGGGACATCCCGATGGTGATCAAATAATACTTATTTTCATAAAATCATTACTAACATTTAGGAAAGGCTATATAAATGCTTCCTTTTTTTCCCTTTTATCAAACGCTAGTAAAATTTATTTATCTAAAGAGACAAAGGCTTTAATTTCATTATGGGCCATGGAATATACCAATAGTATTTTGAAATTTTGTATAAAGTTGTCAAAATCTTCATTGAACTGAGGCTCGTGTGTCATAATCTGATTGACCTTAACTGGAGGGTGACACCAGCGTTCAAGATGGCAGTTTCGATAAGCTGGCCAGTGCTCATGGTTATTTTCCTACCATGAGAGCACTGCGTACTTAGCTGAGCACTCAAGTGTTCCCAGGTTTATTTGCGTGAAATAAATGATAAAAACGAAAGGCTGACCTATAAATCTTGCATAGAAACAGCTCATTTTGCCAGGATCTCTACCTTTTTGTTGGCAAAACGATAACCATTGGTAGCAGAATTTTGAGCTGACCCTGAGGTCTTTCCCTCGTGCTGATGGGTTGTGATCTTTGTACCCATTAGGCGGTAAGTACAGTGAAGCAGGATGTCATCATCACCACAGAGGAAGAGAAAAGAGCTCATATCCAAGCTTTCCTAGAGAACATGTCACCTACAGACAAAGTCATTGTCTTTGTAAGCAGAAAAGCAGTGTAAGTATTTTCCTTTTTCTTTTTTAAACTGGCTTTTCTTTGTCTGGAGTGACATGGTTCTTTCTTTCTTTATTTATTTATTTAATACCAGGGATCCAACTCGGGTCCTTGCACTTGCAAGGCAGGCAGTGGAACCACTGGGCTAAATCCCCAGCCTTCCTTTTTTTTTTTTTTTTTTAAAGCAGGAATAATTCAATTTTTTTGCCTTCTATTTTGTTTTTATATTATTTATTAATATATGTTTGTGGGCTGGGGATTTAGCTCAGTGGTGCCACCACCTGCCTCACAAGTACAGGGTCCCAAGTTCAATCCCCAGTACCACAAAGAAAAAAGTGTGCGTGCGCGAACGCGCGCGTGTGTGTGTATGTGTGTGTGTGTGTGATATAATTATTCTCATTTTGGGTAATTCATTCATACACATACATTGTATCTTTATCAATTTTACTGCCTCTTCTCCTACTGTCTTATTCCCTCTCCCCCTTCCTCATATCTCCTTCCCATCACAATGAGTTTACCTCCCTGATTCCTACATGTCTCCTTAATTTTAGTTATATTTTAGTTTTTAGTCTTTTTTCATTTCTTTTTGTACCAGGAATCAAGCTCAAGGCCTTGTGCTTTCCAGGCAGCTGTGTCACTGCTGAACTACATCCCCGGCCCTCTACTTATATTTTATAACTTCCTTATACTAATTATACTTTGGGTTTCTCCTTTAAGAGAAAACACGTTATATTTCATCCCCATTCTGATTTGTTTTACTTAGCATTGTGGTCTTGGGGTCCATCCATTTTCCTACAGATAATTTCTTTATGGCTGAGCAGTGCTCCATTGTACACATAGCCATTTTCATTTCATCCATCATCTGTAAACAGCCATAGAGGCTACTTCAATTTGTTTTTTTTTTTTTTTTTTTTTTTTTTTTTTTTTTTTCAAACTCAGGACCTTGCGCTTGTGAGGCAGGTGGTGGCACCACTGAGCTAAATCCCCAGCCTGCTTCAGTCATTTAGCCAACGTGAGTTGTGCTGCTGCAAACGTGGTGTGCATGTAACACTGCAACCCGATGACTTCGACGCTTTTGGGAAGTTACCCAGAAGAGGAGGAGCTGGGTCAAATGGAGTTGCTGGTTTTCAGGTTTTGAGGAGTCTCCGTACTGATGTCCGTAGTGGTTGCACTAGATGTGTTCCCACCCACAATGTTCCTTTTTCCCTGCAGGCTTGCCGGCATTTGTTGTTATTTGATTTCTTGATGGTAGCCATTCTTTCAGGAGTGAGATGGAACCTCAGTGTTATTTTATTTGCATTTCTCCAATAGGCAAAGACGCTGCACATTTTTTCATGTACTTCTTGGCCATTTTTACTTCTCTCGAGAAGTATCTGAGTTCTTTATATATTCTAGATAATAGCCCTCTGTGCAAGGAGTGGCTGGCTAATTTTTTTCCCATACTGTAGCTTGTTTCTGCATTCCATTGTTTCCTTGATACGTAGAAGCTGTTTAATTTGATACAATCCCATGTGTTGATTCTTAGTGTACAGGTATTTTCTTGTATTTGCATTATAATCATCAAATTGATTTGTTTCAAACTGGGTTTTCTGGCAATAGAAATAAAGCTAGTGAACTGATGATGGTATTAGAACAAACACTTAAATAAAATCCCTTATCATTTGCTTCAGTGCTGATCATTTATCAAGTGACCTGATTCTTCGACAACTATCAGTAGAGTCTTTGCATGGCGACAGAGAACAGAGCGATCGAGAAAAAGCATTAGAGAACTTTAAACAAGGTACATTTGTGCGATCCTTGTGTGTTCCAGTTTAAAATCAGTCCAACCCCTGGGCTTGGACGAGTGACAGCCTCTTTTCACGGCAACCGTTTTCGAAGGTCCGTCCTCAGTTTGCACAGCCCCAAGTATGTTTGACAGAGCTCTAAACATGAAGCCGCCTGGAAGAACTAGCCAGGCAGACCCTAACGAGATCGACATTTAAACCTAGCTGTCGAGTTTTTAATTTGCAGTGGGGCTGTATCTCAGTTTACCTTTCCTACATGGTGCAGATAGTTCAGGGACCACGTACGGAGCGCTGATACCTGTTGTGCTGTAACTTGCCAGAAGATTTATTTATTTGTACATCGCTTTTCTAGCAAAGTGTTTTAATGCCGCAATCATAGTTCACCTGATAAAACAATGCGGGTAAATACACTTTTCATGTATGTATTGGCCCAGTTTGTACCAGAATGTTTTAGTATTTATTCACCTTTACTCCCCAGGGAAAGTGAGAATACTCATCGCTACTGACTTGGCATCTCGAGGTCTTGATGTCCACGACATCACACACGTCTATAATTACGATTTCCCACGGAACATTGAAGAATATGTTCACAGAGTAGGGCGCACTGGGAGAGCAGGGTAAGCCAGTGTGGTCCAGCCGTGGAGGGGGCCGATTCTGGGCCTCATTACTCCCCTCAGACTACTCTTGCCCAGAACATCATTTTTGTTCTTTTGCTGATAAATGTTCATTTCTTCTCCAGAACCTATGTGACTCCTTTTTCTTTATTCATCTGGCCTGTTCCAGATTCACCTAGATCCTGTTATGATTAGCTTCTTGAAATTGTTTCTGATACTCGTGGTTTAAATTTTTTATTAACACGTTTTCAGTACATGAAGTTTGTAGTCCTTCTGGAGAGTCAGTACACATACAGAACCCATCTTAATTCTTTTTTCATCCCTGTTCCCTTCCCTCCCCCGCCCCCGCCTCCACCTGTCTCTTGATACTGGTTGGGTTTTACTGTGTTGCATTGCTGAGCTGTACCCAGTGATTACTTTGTTTTCTGAATTGGCACGGATGGGACAGAGGACCTTTTACTCCTTCTGTCGTAACCCCTCATGCAGTTTCAGACAACTACAGGGCATAAGCAGCTCTCTGACTCTGGTGCTGAATTTCTTCCAGACTTGACCGGCCAGTGATTGAACACATTTGGAGAAATACTGTGTCAACTGAAAATGTATAGGCTTTTTCTTACTCCTTGACAATGCAGTATAACAACAGTTTACCTAGAATTTGCATTTCTTAGGCAATATAAATAATTGTTACAATTTAAATCATGCAGGAGGATATGTATATGTTATAGAGAAATGCCATAAATCACGAAACTTAATGAATTTTGATCCCCTGTTATCCGCCCTTTAAAGGAGGACCGGCATGTCGATTTCCCTTATCACGAGAAATAACTGGAGTATTGCCACTGAGCTGATTCATATTCTGGAAAGAGCAAATCAGGTGAGACTGTACCACTCCTCCGAAATTGGTGTTCCAGTCACGCTATGCAGGTGCGGTGTACACTGCCTATCAGCAGAGTACATAGGAGCAAGTTTTTAAAAGAGGTTTTGAGGGCTGCAGCATGGGAAAAGTGAGGAGCTTCAGGAGCATGGAACTGGGGAGCTGCCCTAGAGTGAGTGAGCAGTGCGAGCCCCGTGAGAAGGAGCGCAGCGAGTGGAGGGAGAGTCAGACGGGCTGGGCAGTGCTCCAGCAGGGAACACGGTCGGGCCGGAAGTCAGACACCGTGTGGGAGGAAGGCATATCGAGGGCAGCAAAGTCAGCCGGAGGGCGGCGTGCGCGAGCAGCGTAACGGCAGGTATTCTTAAGATCAGTCTAGCTCTGCAGCCTGAAAATGGATTTAGGACTTACTAGGCAGAGAGACATTTCATTCTTTTTGGAGGATGTCATGACATTTGTTGTGCAGATTCTCTGAATGATTTGGAGGTATGTTAGCATATTGTTGAAAATAAAAAACTCAGACTCCTAATAACATGTTTACTAATTTCAGAGTATTCCAGAGGAGCTTGTCTCAATGGCTGAGAGATACAGAGCAAATAAACTAAAAAGAGAAGTGGAAAAGAAAATAGGAAGACTTCAAGGAAAGCCCCAGAAGTTTTATTAGCATTTTATGTTGAAGAGCGGCATGAGCCTGGTAGAGGTAAAATTTATATAACAGCAAGATTTTCAGATTTCCTGGGATTTTTCTATCTGTTTGGCCATAGTAAGGATTAGTGAACCTAGGAAGTGCCGAGCTATCTGGTTTGGTTTTGTTCTGTTTTGTTGGTACTGGGCATTGAACTCCAGTCCTTGCACTTTCAAGGCAGGCAGCAACACCACTGAGCTAAATCCCCAGCCCTGGTTTGATTTGGCTTGGTTTGGTTTGGTTGTTTTTAAGACAAAGTCTTAAAATTTGCCCCAAGTCCTGCTAATTTGCCCAAATTGGCCTTGAATTTGGGATCTTAAATTGCTGAGATTACAGGTATGCACTGCCTTCCCCTACTAAATTCCCACCTCTTTAAATAAGTCTTTGTTAGTGTTGTTATACTCACCATTATCTCTAACAGCCTTTAACCTAATAAATTATTAGGTTTTACTATTTCACCCGTTACCATCATTCTTTTTAATTAGAATTAGAAGTATTGCTGGGCTTGATGGCACACACTGTAATCACAGCATTTGGGAGGCTGAGGCAGAAGGATCGCACAAGTTTGAGGCTGGCCAAGGCTACATAGTGAGTTCAAGACAAGCCTGGTCTACATAGTGAAACCCTATCTCAAAAAAAAAAAAAAGAAGTACTAAGTCAGTTACAAATAAATGTTAAGTTGCACAGAAAGATCATTAAGAGAATCATGGAAGGCGGGGGATGTAGCTAGTGGGGCCACACCTGCCTTGCAAGCTCATGATCCTGAGTTCGATCACCAGTTCCAGGAAAAAAAAAAAAAAGTATAATGGAGCAGGTCGTGGTGGCGCAGGCCTGTTATCCCAGCAGTCGGGAGGCTAAGGCAGGAGGATCACTGCAAGGTGGAGACCATCCTGAGCTACATAGTGAGTTAAAGGCCAGCCTGAATTGCATAGCAAGACCCTCTCTCAAAACAAACAAAACCAAGCCAAAATGACCTCTAGGAGACCAGATGAATAAAATGGCACATTATATGTTATGCAGCTGTTAAAGAATATGTGAGCCATTTTTAAGATATCATAAGTGCTAAAAGCAAAAAACTTCCCACTAGAACAGAAGACTGAGCTAACATGGAAAACCCTTCTACTTTAAACATGTTAAACTCAATAGAAATGATAGGTTAAATGTCTTATTTAAATGTTCCCAAGAGTCAGTGATGCATGAGGGATCACTGTATTGTTCTGTACATTTTAAAATGTTTTTCCATCATAAAACACTTCCATTATAAAAACTGTACTTCTGGCCAGGCATGGTGGTGCATGCCTGTAGTCCCAGCACTCAGGAGGCTGAGGCAGGAGGATCGTCATGAATTTGAGACCAGCCTGGTCTACATAGTGAGGTCTACATAGGAAGACCCTGTCTCAAAATCCAAAAAGAGGGTCTGGGGGTTTAGCTCAGTCCACCGCCTGCCTCGCAAGTGCAAAGTCCCGAGTTCAATCCCTGGTACCAAAAAACAAACAAACAAATGCAAAGAAATTCTACTATGGACCGGAGAATGCAGCACTCAGGTAGAGTTATCTGGGCTGGAAGGAGCAAGCAGGAGAGGAATGAACTGGAAAAACTGCAAGCTAAATTCAGACCTAGGCAGCCTCACGCTAAGACTCTGATTTTTACAATTAAACAATGGGTGCCCTGCACACACAGGATAACTGTGCTACGTATGAAGACAGCACACCAGCAAATGTGTTAGTGCTGATGACGTGTAGAGATGATAAATTTGAAGATTTGTAGAACATTGGGAGAGTTAAAAAAGTATAATTGGCTATGATGAAAAAATAAAAACAAATAAAATTAGAAATAGTTACTGAAATGTAAAAACTCGAAAGAATTAAGACAGTTTACAAGAATTATCATAACATCAGAGGAAATCATGCAGTGCATCTCATACGAAGACCTAGAAAATAAGGAAACAAAAGTTCAAGTAAAACGTTCCAAGTGTGTTCCTACTTGGTTTTTAATGTTTTTCCACAGACTTTGTATAACCAACATAAACTGCACCTACTTTTCTCCAGACCAGGTCTGACTGTTCTAGAACTCTGGGCTCATGCAATCCTCCTGCCTTGGCTCTTGAGTACCTGGGACAACAGACATGCGCCACCATTCCTGGCTTACATTTTTGTTGTTGTGTTTTGTTGTTTTTGTTTTGCAGTACTGGGGATCAAACTCAGGACCTTGCAGTTGTAAGGCAGGCACGGTACCACTGAGCTAAATCCTGGGCCCTTTTTTTTTTTTTTTTAATTTTTACCATTTGAAAATATTAACAACCAAGAATAACTGATGAAGATTGAGTCATAAAAAAATAAAATAAAATCTGAGGAGACCTATAGCTAGTATGAAGGTTGAATGAGTGACAAAACTTTGCCACAAAGGAAAAGCCGGCATTAGATGACCTCACGGGTGAATCTTGCCAAACATTTTAAAATGTGCACCGGTCTTCCTCAACCTGTTTAAAAACATTGAGGAGAGAACACATCAAACTTACTCCAGCAGGCCTCTATTACCGTATCACTAAAGCTAGTCAAAGACTAAGAAGAAAATTGTGGAGCAATATTTTAATAATGGTGCAGAAATACTCAAAATACTAGCAAACAACTCAACATCAAGTTTAAAAGATTATGTGTTATACCAAATGAAGTGTATTCTTACATTGCACAGTTTGCTCAACATACAGAAATCAATAAAATACATCAGATTAGTAGATTAAAGGAAAAAACACTTGATAGTTTTTTTCAATTGATACAGAAAAGACAATTGACAAAATTAATGATATATTCTTTATGAAAAGTAGGTCTGTGGCCTGTAATCCCAGCACTCAGGAGGCTGAGAAGGGAGGATCATAAATTCAAGCCCTCCTTGGGCTACCCAGCAAGACCTAATCTCAAAACAAACAAAAGGATAAAGACTGAAAAGGAACATGCCCCATATCTATCCATAGTATTGGGAGTCCTAACTGGTGTAATCAGGCAAGAAAAACGCATCAAACTTGGAACAGAAGATCTGGTTGCGGAGAGAATGGCTTATATGGAGACCACAGAAGATTCCATAAAAATTCAGCAAGTTGAAGAATCAGAACTCAACGGAAAATTAGTTACATTTTGTTGGTGCCGGTAGACTGAGGTTGGGGAGGCGGTCAGGTGAGGTTCCCAACGCGAAGAATGCTCATGAACAGATGTCACGAAAAGCAAGAACCGACTTTAAATTCCAGCATCAGGGCAGCCTCGGAGCTTGAGAGTTGGAGCTGCAGCTCCAGAGTTCAAGAGGTTCGTGCCCTTATCAGCTCTTCTGAGATGCAGGAAGATAAAACATCCTCTCGACCTTGCGTAGCTGTGTGGTGCATGCGTGGCTCCGTGCTAATTCGTCGTCGTCATTATAACAAAGTGTGTTGTGCGCCTGCACTAAATGACAGAGTTGTGCCCTCTCACGTCCTCAGGTGCCCTGGCTTGGACACATCTCTCAGTGGCCTCCTGTACATTTCCTGGGAGAGGAGAGAACAGAGAAGTAAAACAGATGAGGATGCGAATGTGTGTACACCAGCTCCCCACAGTGAATACGGTTTTACATATACGAACACACGCATAGGAAGGAAGGAGAATCTCAGAAAAATCACTTGTTTTCCTGTGCACTAACAGTGAACCATCTGACAAGATTTTAAGAAAATAATTTTATTTGCAGTGTCAGAAACAATAAAACATTTAGAAATAAGCCAATGACAAAAGATTTGTACACTGAAAACTAGAAAATTTTAGGAGAAAAGATAAAGGATAATCCTTTTTGTAAACTTCAGAGAGTTCATTTTAATTCTGAATTAGTATTGTACAGTATAAAACTTCTGATAGGAAAACTACACAGTAATAGAAAAGATGTATGTATAAACATGTCATAATCCCAGCTAGTTCCTATATTACTTGTCAAGCACCGCTTTTCCCAAGTGTTTTAAAGGAAAATGTTTATAGTTACACAGGGATTTGAAAACGCAATTTTTTTTGTGTGTGCTGGTGGGCTTGCTCTGCCACTGAGCTACAGACCCATACATATCCCTTTTAAATTTTATTTTGATACTGGGCTTTATGGTATAGTTCGGGCTGGCCTCAAATTTGTAATTCTGCCCCCAGCCTCTTGAGTCGCTGGGATTACAGGCATGGGCCACTGTACCCAGCTTGGATTAAAAATATAATTTTAACAAAGATTACCTAAAAGAGGGAAACCGAAGTTGGTAAAACTCTTGCCTATTTTATAAATGGTACCCTCATAGTTGCCCAAGTCAGGATTTTTCTGAAAAAGTGATTTATGAACTTCGTTTCTTTATTGCTTTATGTATCAGAATCACTTGAGCACCCTTGCCTGCTGTGATCACTTTCCTTGCCCAAGTCTTTCGTAGTTGTTCCCATCAGGAAATCATTTAGAATCACCCACCCTGAGCCCTTTTCTAATATATCTTCGGTCTGTCTGGCTTTTGAGACAATTCATTTTTATGGATTAGGAGACAACATTGTTAAAAAGCCAATACTTTCCAAAGGAATCTATAAATACAGTGCAATTTCTATCAAAACCCCAATGACTTTTTTTTTTTTTTTGCAAAAATGGAAAGATTTCATCCTAAAATTCATATGGAATCTGAAGGTATCCTAAATAGCCACAGCCATTTTGAGAAAAGAACATGGTTGGCCCTGCACGGTAGCGTGTGCTTGGAGACTCAGCTACATGAGCGGCTGAAGTGGGAGGATCAGCAGTTTGAGGCCAGCCTGGCCAATTTAATGAGACCACATCTCAAAAAGAAAGAACCATGGTTAGAGAATTCATGCCTACTGGAATCAGAATATTTTACAAAGCGGTAGTAATCATTGAAGGGAGGCCAGGGACAGGGGGAAAAAATGAAAACCAAGACCCATCGTGTAAAGGTACAAGATCCCAATGACGAATGTAACTGTACTGTATCCCTAAAATGTACCAGTAAACTCAATGAGGGAAAAACAGCGATAGTAATTGTAACTCTGATAGCCATATCGACTGGGCCTGGGATTTAGCTGCATGGCACCATGCCTAACTTGCAAACACAAAGTCCTGAGTTCGATCCCCAGTATCCCCCATCAAAAAAAAAAAAAAAAAAAGGGAGGGCTGGGGATTTAGCTCAGTGGTTCTAGCGGCTGCTTCGCAAGCGCAAGGACCTGCATTCGATCCCCAGTACCAAAAAAAAAAAAAGAAAAGAAAAGAAAAGGCATATAGACACAACGGAACAGAAGTCAATCTAGAAATAAACTTTTTTGGTGGGGAGGTAACAGGAATCAAACTGAGGACTTTGCATTTGCAAAGCAGGTGTAGTTCCACTGAGCTAAATCCCAGACCCTAGAAATAAACTTGCAGGGACCAGGGATTTAGCTCATTAGTGTCACTGCCTGTCTTACAAGCACAAGGTCCCAAGTTCGATCCCTGGTACATAAAATAAAAATCTCTTGCACATGTGATCAAATGATTTTGACAAGGATGCCAGGACTACTCAGCAGGAAAAGCACAATCCCTTCAGCAGATGATGTAGGAGAAACTGTATCCACGATGCAAAGAATGTAGCAAAAGTGAACACAAAATGGATTAAAGACCTAAATGAAGGCAGTAGGACAGCAGTTGACCAGGACTGGTAGGCTCCAGAAGGAGGATTGATTGTTCACGAGCAAAGTCTTGATTATGCAAGATGCACACTTTCTGCAGAGTGCACAGCAGTGTGAATACGGTTTAACACTACTGAACACACACTTAACATGGTGATGATGGTAAATTATGTGTGATAGGTTTCATCACAAACTTGGAAACAAAGTTAGGAATCACAGTTTATACTTTTTTCTGCTTATTTTTCAGAACGCAAGGTTTTTTAGAAGTCTTCTCAAGATGGAAGTATTGAAATACTCTCAACGAGGGGAGATTTGACTGATATTAGTGTTTTAAAACGTTGACTGCAGTATTTTATACTTCAAAGGATTTTAACTCAAGTTGAAATTTTTGGTGGATATTTAGTATGTAGCAAAAAGTTTTCTTTTACTTAAAAATGTTTTTAATTAAAAAATAAAAATCTTTAAAGCTGAATGTGGTGGTGTAGGCCTGCAACCCTAGCACTCAGGAAGCTGAGGCAGGAGGATCGTGAGTTCGAGGCCAACCTGGACTACATAGCAAGACCTATCTCAAAAAACATAAATAAATGAGAAAACTTTTTAAATTATCTCCTAGAATGTTGTTGTACTAAAGTTAGTCTTTAAAAGAATTTAACACTTGTTCAGATGTCATTGCAATGAAAAAGGTAACTGTTAAATGTCAGTTTCTGCAATAAAATACAAGTTCTTTGTATTTCTGTGTAGTACACATAAACTTGTCTTAAATTATAACTTACCTACTTGGAAATGTGAAACAAGTAAAATAATTATTTATGATACCAAAATATTCAACATTTTACCCCATGCCTCTATGCTAAAAACCCCAGAAAAATCAAACTTGCATTTCCATGAACATTGCTTTGATCACATTCATCATATCTTCGCGTTTTTCTTTTTGTGTGTGGGAAGGGCAGGGGTACTGAGGATTAAACACAAGGTCTGTCCACTAAGCTACATCCACAGTCCTCTTTTGTGTGTTTAATTTTGAGACAAGATCTTGCTAAATTGCCTGGTCTTGAGTTTGTGAACCTTCTGGGCCCAACTACCCAGAGAGCTGGAATTACAGGCGTGTGCTATCGTGTCTGCGTAGCTTTCCCTCCCAGTGTTGTGTTGATCTGTCCTCCATCAAAGGTAGCTACTTAGGCATTTATTACCTCCTAGAATTTGTTATTGATAATTATAGTTGTGTATAGGATTTTATTTCATAATTTTCCTTTATTCATCCAAGTAATAGGCTTCCTGGTATATGAATAAGACTTTAATAAAAGAATCTAGCAGAAATACACGTACAAGCAGAAGTGAATGAATTAGGAAAGTGTTCATTGAAAACTAACACCCAAATTTTTGGTGAGAAAATAAAATTTCTGAGTAAGTCTGGAAGCAAGGTTTACAGGCATTAAAAGTGATATAAGAACACTGTAATTTTGCCCCCTCAAAAATGAAAATGTGCTAAATTGACCACTTCATATTTTTGTAAATTTACCACAGTTAAGTACAGTAGTTTAACTTAATAAAACAGAAGAAACATGAAAGGCCAAGGACTTTCAACAAGAAGACAAATATTCCTATGTGCTAGACAATCTAAAAACACAAGGAATTCAATTTATCAAGCTAAGGCAAAGAATAGGGACTGGAACTCTAGCTCAGGAGTCGTGCTACTAGCACGTATGAGGCCCTACTTTGAGTCCCGTCACCACTGAAAAAAAAAAAGTAAAGAGTATGTTCTTTTTATTATACTATGCGTACATATGAGCATAGTCCTAGATGATCACCTCTGAGTAACTAGAGTGCAAATGAATTTTCTTTCACCGTCCCATGTACCTTTTGGGTTTTGGCATTTATATATATATATCCCCCCACCCACTTGATACTGAGACCCTCAGTAGGTACCTGAAATTAAGGATGGTACCACTGTATATATTATTTTTCCTAGAGCCAGGCATTGTGATGCACCCTTGTAATCCCAGCACTCGGGAGGCTGAGGCAGGAGGATCGCTGTGAGTTCAAGACCAGCCTGTGCTACACAGTTCCAGGTCAGTCTTAACTGCGTAGTGAGACCCTGTCTCAAAAAACAAACAAAAAAAATTATTTTTCCTATGCATACATAACTGTCATAAAGCTTAATTTATAGGCCCCAGAGGAGACACCTAACAATAAAAAAGAACAACAGAAAACTTGGTGACATTCTTTCTCCTTAAGCAACATCATCCATCATCTACTCTGCAAGAAGTGAGATAGCAGCTTCCTCATTGGCAGTGTCTTCAGTAATTTTTTTTTATTTTTCAGTCCAAAACTAATCCAGCATCTCTGTAATCGTCCTAAATGGCTTGGTGTCCCTTGTTTCAGAGGGTCCTTTGCTGAATTCTGCATAAGTGTAACCTTTCTGGTGCAGACAATGATTGAAACACATTTTCAGCAGGGCATGGTGGTCCACATCTGTAAATCTCAGCACTCAGGGAGGCTGAGGCAGGAGGGTGGCAAGTCTGAGCCCATCCTGGGCAAATGTCTCAAAAAATGATGAAAGGGCTAGAGATACGTCTCACTGTAAAGGCTCTGCCTGGGTCCAATCCCAAGTGCTGCACAAAAAGAAAAAAAATGCATATTCTGTTGTCTTCCATCCAAACTGAATGATGCCTTTTCCGTCTTAATTAAGTGCTTAGCACGTACTGTGGCAATGACTTTGCAATTCAGGGTGTAAAAGCAAAACTGAATTTTTCTTCACAATTTCACAGCTAGGCCAGGCAGAGTGGTGCGTACCTGTAATCCCAACACCCAGGAGCCTGAGGCAGAAGGATTTCCATGAGTTCAAGGCCAGCCTGGACTACATAGTCCCTGACTCAAAAAAAACAAAAGAAATGTTATCATGGATAAATTGTTACTATAGATCTTAATGATTTCTGCATATTTTTTTCCTCATTGAGACCTTTTCTCTTAAAGCACATCACATTTTCTCTGACATATCTGAATTGCTAGCCCTATTACTCGTGCCTTTGGTGCCATTCATAAGTAAAATAAGGGCTGCTTGAACACAAGCATTGTGACACCATGACTTGTGGTCTGTCACCAAGAGCTCTGTTAACTGGCAGGTAGCATATACAGCATGGATACACTGGACCAAAAGATGGTTCATATCTCAGGCAGGCAGAATGGAAAATGGAGATAGATCTTTGGTAAAAGGGAAGGGCAAGGATGAGGAGAAGAAGAGTATGGAAAAATAATTTAAATGTGTTATGTATGCATACCATCTCTCCATGATGAATGTAACTGTGCTGTAAACATATACTACTAAAAATAACATTTTGGCCAACTGTGGCAGCACACAGCTGTAATCCCAGCACACAAGGGGCTGAGGCAGGAGGATTGCTGCATGTTCAAGGCCAGCCTGGGATTCATAGTGAGTTCAAGAGCAGCCTGGACTACACAGCATGATACTGTCTCTAAATAAATAAAATTTAAATTAAAAATTTTAAAAAGATTTAAACTTGCTGCCCAGAATGACACACAATTTAAAACTTGAATTTTTTTCCCTCATTGATATTATTGGTACATTTAGGTATACAGTACAGTTACATTCATCATTGGGAACTTGTACCTTTGCACGACAGGTCTTGGTTCTGTTTTAAAACTTGAATTTTTGAAATTTTCCATTTGCTATTGTTGTGCCACAGTTGATTGTGGGTAATGGAAATCATACAAAGGCAACTCATGGATCATAGGCCCAAAAATCTGGAGTGGGAACATGGGCTTGCTTCTCCGAGTGACCGCTCTCCTTGACAGGCCAGGCCTTTGGCAGAGCACAGAGCCTCTAGTCATCTCGGCTTCCTGTAGGACATGGACCCTATTCTGCTGTGTGCTGTGTGCAGTCAGGGCCTCAGCACCACGCAGGAGAACAGCTTGCTTTTTAAAAGCAAAATGCAGAATTAAACATACAAAAGGTTTTAGCCACCAGATTTCAGTTTGAAGTGATGAAAATATTGTGTGGGTACTATACTAAAAACAGTTGCACACTTCACATGGGTAAATTGTGTGATCTGTGCACTATATCTCCATAAAGCTATAGCTGTTATTTATAGTGTCCCTAAAAAGAGAAAGCTGGCAAACAGTAAGGAACTCATAGCCCAGAATCTAACAGTGTGTTGGACTCCAGAGCACTGAGGACCATAGGCTGCTCTGAGGGCATGGGATGATCTGGCCTCGTCAGGCCAAGGGCCATGGTGCAGGGATGGTGAACGTTCAGATTCACTCCACCCCCGAGGCTCCAGTAAGCATCAGATTAGCTCAGCAGCATGAGCCAGGAAACCCAGCCTGTCAGGAAGCCTTGCCACGCTTACAGGAGGGCCTGCGGCTGTCCACACCATCCCAAAGGGAGTGTTTCTGTACTGGGGCTTGGACCCAGCCGCTCTACCCCTGAACTTCATCTCCAGCCTTATTCTTTTTTTGTTGTTTTCCCCCAGCCTTTTTTATTTTGAGACAATGTCTGTTATTTTGAGGCCAAGCCTAGCCTCAAAGTTAAATCCTCCTCCCATGCCTAATAGCTGTGATTATAGGTTTGTGCCGCTACTGCCAGCCTGAAGTTGTTTTTACTGCTTTCCCCAGATGACACTGTAGGGGAAAGGGTCTGGACCCATTTTCTTAGGTAAGCACATCCCCCTTGTACATTGGGCTGGAGCCTTGTAGCCCACAGAAAACCTGTATCTCTTACAACCACCTCACAGGCACAGCTTCATGGATCCTTACAAGGAGCATGTTCACATGGGGGATCTTAAAGCTGTGACTTCCCGTGCAGGAAAATCCCACTGTAGATTTGGTCACAAAAATCAAGACCGTGTCTAATCCTGGTGGAGAAATTAATGCCCTCTTCAAATTACCTTAAAGGGCAATAACCCTAATGTAAAGTTATAATAAACCCCACTTCCTTTTACTGTAAGCAAAATTGCTCTGACATGAGAAAAATGGAATAAAAATGAAAAGGGAAAATGCTAAATATGATTAAATGAAACACAAGGCAGGCACAGTGGTCCATGACTATGATCCTAGCTACTTGCAAGGCTGAGGCAGAGGGATCATATATCATATATTCAAGGCTAGCCCTGAGCGACTTAGTCTCAAAATAAAAAGTGCTAGGGACATAGCACAGTGGTAGAGGACCCCCAGGTTCAGTCTCCAGTACCATGAAGAAGAAAACATGTTTTATCTGTCAGAAGTAGGAAAATGTAAAATATAACACATAAGATAAAAACTAACCAGGTAAAAGTTCTAAAAAAAAATACTAGCTAGGTGTGGTGGCACATGCCTATAATCCCAGCACTTAGAAGGCTGAGACAGGAGAATCCCAAATTCAAGGCCAACCTAGACTACATGGTAAGACCCAAAACACACACACACACACACACACACACACACACACACACACACTTCCACTAAAAAAATG